AATCCCAGTCCTATCCCAACTGTGCAAATGTGATGAAGTGACTCGAAGCACTCCCCAAGTGTTCCCTCATCTTACAGAGATGACGGCGCCAGCCACCTTTCATCACTTGCGAGAGGCAAATGATTGAACAGAGGTGTGGGCCGTCGGTCACAGGTTATGGCATCGGCTGGGTCCAGGCACTGCTGAGGTATAGAATCTGATGACAAACAAGAACAAAAGAGGCCGTGCCTCCACAGAGGTCCCACTCTACCTGCGGGAGGCCAAAAATAAGCACGTGAACAGGTAAGAGAATTTTCTGGCTTGAGATGCTAACGCACAGGATGAACCAACCGAGGACAGCAGTGGGGAATCACAACGAATAACAGCTCAGCCATCTGCAGCGGGCCCTCCAGGAAGGCCCCAGCTCTCTCCCAGCCTCCCCAGACGAAGAAATCCATACTTTATCCTCAGGCAGCTGGGAGCTGTAAAGGCTTCTGAGTAAAGCAACCGACAAGACACAAACACAGGGCGCGATGATTGTTACTCCCCGGGATGGCTGTGGCTGACACGGAGCACTACGCACCTGCACCAGGCCACGCCCGCTCACTACGCAACAAAGGCCAGGCGTCTTCGCATCACCTGTGAGCATCTCTCCCAAGCGTTTTCACCAGGGCCGCTCAAAAGCAGCAGAACGTGGCTCCGTTTGATTTCCTCTGCTCTTCTCCACTCTTGCTAGGGTGGCCTTGCTAATGAAAACACATAAACTGAATAAACACTTGGGGAAGGCGCCATCTGTTCACCCTACAAACGTCAGCAGGAACAGCATTTGTTTACCAGCGGGGTCATGAGTGAGGACAGGACACATCAAACCTTCTCAGGAACCTTCCAGGGGGGTGGGAGTGGAGGGAGTCATTTAACCCTTTCAGACCCACACAAGTCACCTCGATTTATCATCTCTGGTTGGAAGGGAAGGCTGCATGTATCACAAACCACAGGCTGGGGCTTATCCGCACAGCCTTTTCCACATAAAGATGATAAAACGCCCCGTAAGAATTTCCTATAAATATTACTTTTGAACTTTCAACGCTGTAGAGGAAATAGCTAAAAAGACCGTCCAAGTTCAAGAGCAAAGGTGACGGTAGAACTAGCCATGGCGTAGAGAAGTCTGATGCTCACTGCTCACGATTTTCAAAGGATTCAACTCTTTAATAAGACCTCATTCAGGGCTGTAAGAAATGATGAAGACTGGTGTGGTTATCTGTGCCAGGAAGTGTTTAGGGAACATGCATTTTTAAATGATGACTTGGCCTTCGTCCATCCTCTAAAACAAAAGTCTTAGGAAAGGCCCAGGAAACTCAATCCCCCAAGGAAAGCTGTGGTTCATGGAAGAATGTCCCCCAAGGGAAACTGTAACGACTTCTGGCCAAGTGCCTGCTCGTGTGTGTGATGAATGTGAATTAACGAGGAGGACCCATCCTTGTGGGGTGCCCAACCTGAGGAGGGAGCACGTGTGGGCTAAGGGGACACTTCCAGGCTCAGACACTTGGCCTTGATGAATCCCCAGCAGAAAGTTCTGGAGCAAGGTTTAAAGCACTTATGGGGAGCTGGGTCTCTTGTGATCCTGTGTCCCTCCGCTCCAATCCCAAGCACAGCGGCTGAGTCACCACAGCCAGCCTGATGCTTCCCAGCTGTGCAGAGACCTGGCTGATTCTGTTCTTAAAGACCACAAGGTAGCAATTTAGAATCAGCTTAGTCAATAAAAATGCTGATTGCTGCCTTTCTACAGGCAGTTATGGAAAACATCTGTTGCCCATGGGTTGCGAAGGAACATTCTGACTCAACGCCAGAAATAAAAATTAAACATGAATGGATGAGGCATGTGAAAAACTAACAATAGCATTAATTCTACTTGTAAGATTCAGTCTACTCCTAATATTCAGTCAGCAAACACTTAATGAGCACCTACTACATGCCAGGCGCTGTGCAAGGTGCTGGGGATGAGACAATAAGGTAAGGTCCCAGCCCCGAGAAGCCAACAGTGAAGCGGCAAATGCCCACTGGTACCACTAATCATATTATGGTCCAAGCTCTTAGTATGTGCCAAGAGCTGTTCCTTTATTTGTATCAACTCTTTTATTCTCATAAAATGAGGTAGGGTTTTTGATTAGCCTCATTTTACAGAGGAGAAAACTGAGATACAGAGAGATTAAGTACCTTGCCCAAGGTGATTAATGTGTCAGTAGATGAAGCTGGGATTTGAATCTCAGGGGTCCAGCTCCACCCTGACAGATGTATGAGCAAAGAAGTCTGAAATGGGGGAAGAAAACAGCCACTGCCTCCAGAAGTTGGCATCTGGGTAAAACAGACAGGACCTCTAAGGATGCACAGGAGTTTATGTGGGAAGGGGGTGGTATGAGAAACCTTCCAGGCAGAGGAGTTACAAATGCAAAGCACAGACAACAGAAATTATCAAGTAAAATCTTTTTTAAAAGACGCAAACACACTTCTATTCCTATTTCTTAGGCAGGGAGTTCCTATATAGTTCCTAGCTAAGTAGTAGCTAGGACCAGAGTTTTGACATCCTTTGGTTCAGGGAAACAAGAACTGCAAGTGAATACAGTACAATGCTTCCTGTAGCTCATGCACACAACAGCAGCATTTGCTGGCCCTCGGTCCAAACCACACACGGGAACACCAATGTAAATTGATACAGCCACTATGGAGAACAGTATGGAGGTTCCTTAAAAAACTAAAAATAGAAATACCATATGACCCAGCAATCCCACTACTGGGCATATACCCTGAGAAAACCATAATTCAAAAACAGTCATGTACCAAAATGTTCATTGCAGCTCTATTTACAATAGCCAGGACATGGAAGCAACCTAAGTGTCCATCATCGGATGAATGGATCAAGAAGATGTGGCACATATATACAATGGAATATTACTCAGCCATAAAAAGAAATGAAATTGAGTTATTTGTAGTGAGGTGGACGGACCTAAAGTCTCATACAGAGTGAAGTAAGTCAGAAAGAGAAAAACAAATACTGTATGCTAACACATATATATGGAATCTAAGAAAAAAAAAGGTCATGAAGTACCTAGGGGTAAGATGGGAATAAAGACACAGACCTACTAGAGAATGGACTTGAGGACATGGGGAGGGGGAAGGGTAAGCTGGGATGAAGTGAGAGAGTGGCATGGACATATATACACTACCAAACGTAAAATAGATAGCTAGTGGGAAGCAGCCGCGTAGCACAGGGAGATCAGCTCGGTGCTCTGTGACCACCTAGAGGGGTGGGATAGGGAGGGTGGGAGGGAGACGCAAGAGGGAGGAGATATGGGGATGTATGTATATGTATAGCTGATTCACTTTGTTATAAAGCAGAAACTAACACACCGTTGTAAAGCAATTATACTCCAATAAAGATGATTAAAAAAGAAAAAAAAAAAAGAATGCGTTGCTAGAGACTTGGGCTCAGAAGTCCTTAGCAGTACCAAAGAGGAAACACTGAAATGAAATACCTCACCAAACCAGTCTGGCAATGAAGAGAAAGGAGGCAGGGTGCGGGAGGGATGTGGGGTGCGGCGCGGGGAGGAGAGGAGGCTGGGACATGTTGCAGAAGGCCGGACTCTACCAGGCTGGCAGGTGTGCCCCTCAATCTATTTTTACAATTTCAGCAGATTAGCAACGGCTTTGTGCCTCAGAATGTGAAGAAGTTCAAGTCCTTAAAGAGACAGGAATTCCACAACAAGTAAATTAGAAAGATACAAAGGTGGTTTGCAATGTGCAATAAATTGGCAGGTTTAAACATAGCTTTTCTGAGGTTTATCTTCCCTGAGACACTTAATGGTAATTCACACCCTCTGAACAACATTCTTTGAAATGAATATGACTTAGTGAATCATATTACATAAACCATTAAATGATGAGATGCAGACATGAATGCCAACTGTTAAGTCTCAGTTGCTCTAGCCATCGGGAATAATTGATGGATCGTCTCCACTTTAAAAACAGGTTATGTTCCCAAAGTTCGCTTACAGTTTGGCTGTTTGGAATTCAAGAGTTACTTCCTTCCTCCCCCCACACACAAGCCATGTGACATGTGGGTGTAGTACCCAAGGGAGAGCACAGAAAACAGGCAGAGCGCGCTGTGAATTCTCTGGATGCTAATTCATGCTTGAGGAGACTGCAGTCAGAGTTCTACAGAGGTGGACACACACGTCCGCACTCTCCCTGCCACGGGAACAAATCCTGCATCGGCACATAACTAACCGGTGGTGGTTCCCGAACCGCTAGCAGCGGTCGGATTTCAGGAGGAGGCTGGAGAGAAGGATGAGGGAGGGCAAGGGGCCACGAGGCAGGGGCTCTGAGGAAGACACCAGAACCACGGGGGCATGCAGCTCTAGCTGATGGACAAGGCCAAGGCTGCCGTTCCTCCTTCTCTGCCCGGCTCCTGGACACCCCACTCTGCTCCGCCCCTGGGATGGGGCCTCTTCCCTTCTAGGGCTGCCACACTGGGGGCTGGGATCAGGGTTCTCCTGCACCCCGACTCCCCACCCACAAAAATGCTCGGCAACTTCTCTGATGTCGGAAAACCCATTCAGGTCTTTGACGGTTTTCTCGGAACTTTCCTGCCAGTAACCTAAGGAAATGGGGTGCTCACACACATGCATCGACGTTGAGAGGAACTGCTTGTAACGAGCAAATTAAACGGAGACGCAGACCACAGTTCCCTCCAATTCACATATGTAAGTAATACATACATAGGCATGTACACACAGATATCTACTGGAATATGGAAAATCAGAGTAAAATTCAAATGACACACCCACTGATATCACTGGGCGCGGTCCGCGCATAAATCCAAAAACTGACAGCTCGGAACCAGACGCTCCAGAGGAGGACGGCGAGGGTGGGCAGGGAGCCGCTGAACACACAGACCTGCCACCTCGCGTCACCGAAACGCAGGAATGACACGAGCCTCCCTGTGCCGAAGGCTGCCCCCGACTTACCGGAACTTCAAAGGCCTCCTGGGTGTCATCCAGCATCTGGATTCTGACGGACATGAGTTTTCCTGAAGGCGTCGGGGGAGGCTTCTGTCCATGTTCCAAGGTACTGATCCCCGAATTCTCCGCTGCCCCCAGTCTCGATCCTGGAGTTGGCCTCTGCTCTATTTCTCCCATGATGAGAGCAGATTATATGATGCCTGCAGGAAGCAGAGAGAAGAAAAATACATCAGGAGACTCACTGAGACCACCTTAGTAACATTGGTCGCCTTCTGCCGGTCACTGTGGCCACGTCCCCGAAGCACAAGATGGCCAGTTCCCACCCCCCGTGCAGGAATCACACGAGCTGATAAGCGTTCGGCTCATTCACACACAGCGTCACCTTTAGCCACTCAAGGCATGCAAATATTTGTGCATATTTTATCCTTCTGCATACTTTTTTTTGCGGTACACGGGCCTCTCACTGTCGTGGCCCCTCCCACTGCGGAGCACAGGCTCCGGACGCGCAGGCTCAGCGGCCATGGCTCACGGGCCCAGCCACTCCCCAGCATGTGGGATCTTCCCAGACCAGGGCACAAACCCGTGTCCCCTGCATCGGCAGACAGACCCTCAACCACTGCGCCACCAGGGAAGCCCCATCCTTCTGCATACTTTTGCATAGTTTATCCTTTTCTAGTTTTACAGTCAGCTCTTAATACGCTAGATTCAGTTGTGTTCTACGTATTATTAGTTAGGGTCTGCCATGAGCTAGGCACCATTTTTCACACACTTGCGGTCTGCTGGGAAGATAATGAGCAGTGCCTAACCCATATCATTAACATCCATTAGTTTACCTTTTATGGATCATGGAACATACCAAGTAATGTGGGCGTTATCAAAATAAATAGATAAAACGTATCTTGTAGCTCCCGAGTTTATAATCTGGTTGAGGAAACGAAACACAAGCTCACACAAACCCAGGTGACGTCAGGTAGGGTCTTTTCTCTCGATTTCTTCTTTTCCTCCTAATTAATTTTTTTCCTGCCACCCTCCAGCAGTTGTTCCCCCTCTCCCAGGAAACCATTCTACATATTACAGTATTGACAAAGTTATCTTCTCCATCATGCAGAAGGTAGGAACTGAACTCCACTGAGTCTCAAATGTTGGGTAATGCTTGGAAGGAGACAGGAACACACAAGGAGAAGGAATTCCAGGGAAGTAGAACAGCATCAAGAAAGCTATGGGACAGAAATCAGGTGGCATTTAGGAAGACAACTGAGAATCAATGCTGCAGAGTTAAAGATGCATTTGGAAACTAGGTTGGAATCAGACCACAAAGGACATCAAAGCCCTAGCTGAGAGATATGGTCTTCACCCTGTAGCGAGTCACTGAATAAGAATAATGACACAACGAAAGTAGAACTTGAGAAAAATGAATGTGAAGATGATCCATACTAATGCGCTGGAAAAAGAGACAGGCTGGCAGGGGCTGGGGGAGTCCAGTTACAGAGCTAAGGCAACAATTTGAGCTCGAGGAGATCAGCTTGAACAGGGGTGACGGAAATAAAAAGATGATGCTATAAAACCCACTTTTATGGAAAAATTAACCCGGTGTTGTAAATGGTTAGCTACTGAGAAGAAGGAGATTAAAGTATAACAGTGACCAGAAAGTTTTAAATCAAGGCAGAAGTGAAGAAGTGGGAGGGGAAGGTGTGTGTGTGACTGGGGACACATTGAAGGCTTTAAAAGGATATCCAGCAGGCTGTGGTGGAGGTGGAGCTGGATCTGGGCTTTGGGTTCAGAGTCCATCTCGCTGTAGAAGTGAAAGCCAGGGTGAGGGTGAATGTGAAAGGGGTGGGGGGAGACAGGGCAATGAAAAAGCAAAAAGAACAAACATGCCCAGCCATGGGGGTTGTTATGGACTGAACTGTGTCCCCCCAAACTCTTACCTTGGAGCACTAAGCCCATGTAACTCAGAATATGACGGCATTTGGAGACAGGGTCTTAAAAGAGGTGACCAATTTAAAACAGTGATTAAGATGGGCCCTAATCCAATCTGACTGGTGTCCTTATAAGAGGAGCAAATTTGCACACACACAGAGACACCAGGCATGCACAGAGGAAAAGCCTTGTGAGGACACAGGGAGAAGGTGTCTCCATCTGCAAGCCGAGGAGAGATGCCTCAGGAGAAACCAACCCTGTCAACACCTTGATCTAAACTTCCGACCTCCAGAACTGTGAGAAAATAAACCTCTGTTAAGACACCCAGCCTGTGGGACTTTATTATGGCAGTAAATTCACACAAGGGCCGAGGGAGAAGAGGCAGAGAAAGAATGACCCTTTGTCTCAGTGACAAAGAAAGTCACAGAAGGGGCACTCAAGGGTCACCTGTGGTGTGAGGTATAGACCTCAGGGCTGCATCTTACGAGCCACCCTTCAGCTCTTTGCTTCAGGAAAAAACATCCAGTTTGTCAGCCTCATTGTGTAGGTTCTTCTTGACCAAGGCTCTTCCTTCTCCTGAAGGATCAGTCAGGTTCCTTCCCAGAAGTTTCCCACCGAATTCCATACGGGAACCTCCCCTTCCTCTCAGTGAAACCTCGAACATTCTCCCTGTGACACAGAGGGCTGGCCCTGAGGTCAGTAGAGTAGAAACTATGGAGTCACCTCGATAAGATGGGTCATTGGATCAAACCACCCTGGCCTGAAAAGACACACCCTTTGACTGAAAAGGGAGAGGACCTGACCACCACCCAGGAAACACCATTTACTGCTTATTTCTCCCACACTCATTTTCCCCACCAACTTTCCACCAAAGCCTGTAAGAGATTATTTTTCGTCCCTATGCAATCCTTTGAGATTGGACTTCTGTGTCACCATGCTAGTTAAGGACCAGCCTTTTGAGAACTACTACTCCTTTCTTGAATGTCCATCTATGATTTCACAGGTCTGCTATACAAGTAAGTACCTTTCTGATTTCTCCCCCAAATAAGTTTTTTTTTTTTAAGAACCTAATTCCAATCTGTTTGATTATGTGATTATCTTTTGCTTAATCGTCTCTTGGTCTTAAGACACAACTAGACTTCGCTCATCTACAATGCTTTACACCGAAGTGAAAAACAGATCACCTACATTTGTTCAATGAATCAAATGTGGCTGGTATAGATCTAATTAACTATGGCATCACTGTGTTTAAAATAATCTTCACAAACCAGGCAGAATTATTCCCCTATATGTTTTCTATTCATGGTCTCATGGTTAAAAATAAACACAAGCGCTAAAGAAAGCTTTGACATCAGTCCAGTTTGCCTTCCCCATTGCTAGCCTCCTCTTTGCACTCATTCCTACTTTGGTGTTGATCCCTCCCTGCCTCTGTAAACATCCTCCACTGCTCGCCTCCAACCCCACCTCCTGTTCCCCGCACTCCACCAGCATGGACAGGCCCTGTCCTCAATCACTGATGCTGGGCCTGACCACTTGGCCTCTTCTCGCTCTGAGTTGAGAGGGGTAGGTCCGGGCTGTGGCTCTGATGCCCATCCAGGGAGCCGACGGCAGGGAGGTCAGGGTTTATTCTCTCACGTCACCCCACCTTAAAGGTGCTCTAAACTCATTTTCTCTTTGTCCTACCTAAGCAAAGAGCAAGGCTCTCATCCTCGAAATGGAACCCTTTCTCTCCACGCTGGCCCAAGATCCCCAGAAGAACATTGTGATTTTTAACAGCTGGGCACTTAAAAATTAAATTGAGCCAGTGATTAACAGACATCTGGTACCTTAACTTCCTTTATCTCTTTTTAGTCTTCAAATGATCTCACGCCTATATTTGTTCTACTTCTGGATATTAACATTTCAACAAAGCATGTCACACTTTTTGTTTTTATACTTGCAGGCAGATTGTTACTGTTCATGGAAAGTGCTGTTTAACTCAAACATAAATCCAGCCAAGAGTTTTGAGCGGAGCAGCCTAAGAATGTCAAGGGAATATCTGAGGGACGCTGTCAAGTCATGAATGGGTAACCATAACCTATGCTGGATAGCAAAATTGGTGAATCCAGCAATAAAACACAGCCTTCTACATCACATACCTAACAAACCTAAAAGCCTCCTGTGTATAAATAGCAATCCATGCTCTATTCCAACTTTACCTCCATAACTTCCTCCAACTTCTGAATTCCTTAAGAAAGAGTCAAGGTAAAAAAGATTAATATTTCTTTCCTTGTACCATGTTATTACTAACATGATCATTCCAGACCTACGAGTAAAGAGCTGTTTGTGAAACTACCTTCTTCTTTAGATCTATGTGAAAAGTTAGTTAAAAAGGAAATAATGACTACAACAAAAAAGCAGTACAAACTTTAACTGGCAAAGAAAAGATAAAAAACTAGAATTGTCTTGTTATAGTCTCTTGGCTTAAAGACTTCCTCTTGGAATTCACCCAAAAGCAATAAGGAAAACACACACAAAAATGCTAACTCCATCCCAGAGGAACGTGGAACACATCTGTAGCTTTGAACCACGAAACATGAGAAAGAGTTGGCAAACTGCAGTGAAGGTCAGACAGAGAAGGAAAATTCTTGGAGAGCCCATGCCTGCCAGAGCCATGCTCCCCAAATAAGTAGGATATCCAGCAATAACTTTCTGAAAAGAAGGGCAACAGACACGCAGGTAGCACTAAGAGCTTCCCTGGATGCAGTGTGGTGGGAGAAATCAGGAAGCAGGAAAGGTCGAATTGAATGAGAAACCACACAGGTAAGACATATTAGCAGGAAGCAGTCTATTGCCGAGGCAAAGTGAAAAAGAGAGACCCCACTAGGAACACAACCAGTCTCAGCAAGCTAGAGAAAAATAAGGGTTTAAAGGATTACACACACACACACACACACACACACACACACACACACACGCAACCTCAGGTCACAAGAATCCCCACTGGCATGGGACATGGCCCTGTCTCCTGCTCACGTGAGGCTCCTGTAAATAGCTAGTTCATAAAGAATTCATCTAATAACAAAAAAGGACCTTTATAAAGATGCTGCAAAAAGAGGAAAATGAAAATGAATGACAGATGAAAAACACCCACCAAAGCAATGTTATATGCAACAGATGAAAATTTTGCCCAAACACACTGTCATAAATTAACAAAACAAAGAAATAACTGATTCTATCTACAAAAACAGAAGAGGATTTACAAGAGTTCAGGGAAGCATGAGAAGGAAATAAAGCATGA